AAAAAAAAAAAAAAAAAAAAGATTGCCTAAAATTTTGCCCAATCTCTTGTTAGAGAACTGGAAACACATTGGTTTAACTAAAGCATATTTATATACTAACATTTTGAAGAAGTTTGTCTTATGGATTAATTCAATCATTATGAATTGATTTTTGCTATTTTTAGCTTCACAAGGTGGCCTTTTATTGATAATGTCCTCTGGCCCTTCAGTTCCCTTTATGGTCATCTCCTATGTACTGACCATAAATAATGTGGAAATATTGGAAAAGATCAAAGGTTTTACACATGGCAAGGTTTCAAAATTAAATAAATAGTATTCAAAAGTTAAAAGAATATTTTATTCTTTACAGAAGATAAGCCTAAAATGAATAAAATTATTAGTGACACATTTTTTTGGTTTTGTACAGGTGATATGAAAAACCTCAATTTAATTTAGTAACTATAATTTTTTCCAAAGGAAAATGTCTGGACCTTTTAAAATAAATACCATGCTTAGTAATAGAAATGTTAAATGTTTTAATTGTATTGATTTTTGTAAATAAAAATCAAATGATTCATTCCTGTCAAGAAATAAATATGAATTTAACTGTACCAAGAGTATTTACCACAGGACAGAAAAAATTAGACAAGTATAAACAAAAGGGAAAAATTAAACTAAAAACAAAAATGAATGAATAAATGGAAGAAAGGAAAAAAGATTAAAAATGTATCTGGTTATATTTGGGTGACGAGATTATAGTTTCTTCATTTCTCTATTTTCAACATTATCTTTGATTTAGAAAATTTGTTTACTTTCCGAAAACCTAATGCTAAAATGTGTTTCTTTGAAAATGTCATAGTGTTTCCAAAGATGACTGGTTTTTAAATTTAGGAAGAACAGTGTTTATTTACTAGATATGTTTTTGTAATGAGTTGTTCCTCTTCTCATAAGAAAGAACAAATCTGCTTTTGGTGCTCCTTGATGGCAGGACACATTTGCTTCCTGTTATCAGCTCTTTAAGCCCCTTCCTAATAGATTATCTTAAGAAATTGACTCTTTAATAAATGTGTGAAGTGAAAGCAATTATATGTGGAACTGCCAAGTGATAATGGCAGTGGGGATAATGGCAAGAAACTTGGCTCTGGTTTGTAAAACTCATTGATGTAGGTCACAAAATTGATTTATGGCTAGCATTATGCTCTAGATTTTCTCTTCTGATGTATTAGAGACGGTAATTATCTCAGCACTTGGATTGTCTATGACATTTCTTCTTTGTGTTCTTCTGGATTTTCTACCCTAATCATGTATCACATTTATAACTAGAAAATAGTAATGCAAGAACTTAGAATCATATAAATAAAATATGCCATAGATGCAACCCAGAAGGAGGGGTCCTCAAAGATTTACAAAAGCTTCTATTACATTATAAATAAAAGTCTGGTACCAGGACAAAACTCAGGGACAAAGAGCTCTCAATTCCTTTTATCACTTTATGTCCTGGGGAAAATCTAATTGCTTGGGCCTTTATTTGCCCCAGAAGGGGCATTATGTACCTCAACAGTGAGGTAAAGACTGCAATAACCTGCTAGAATGTGAGGACATTACAAAGGAAAGAACACCACAATATCCAGGGGTTTTATTGTTTCATGGCTGTAGAATCTTGAAATTCCAATGCCAGACCTACTGTGGACAGAAATAAGTGCTCCTCCATTCCAACCTGCTGCTTTTACAAATGTAAACTGAAGTCAAGAGAAACTCAATTACTTAGTTGAAGTTACAGAGCTACCGGGGTGGAGGCGTCAGGAATCTATCAATGTGATTATTTTCAGAAATTTTTTTAACACACATGTTTTCTCTCTTTGTAGGAAACATGCACTGAGGATTTTCATCATGTTTTATGTCCTCATCGTCACTGGACTTTTATGTTACATACTATTTTTTGATGCTACGTTTCTCTTTGAAAGGGCGCTTCCAAGAATGCTTGGGCGCCGCACCATGTGGGACCTGCGGGAGGTGATAGAGCCTTTCTTGAATTTGGAAGTGGAAGACTTGTTACCCTCCTAAAGATACAGAAATTACTGTCACCCTACTAATTTTCTCCCCAGTAAAAATTCTGGCTGTTCCTGTAGTGTGCTGGCTAACTTATTTTTCAAAAAATACTGTACAATATTTTTGTAAAGAACATTGTAATTATACAGAAGTTGATTGATCACACACAAAAATGTAAACAGCTTACCCTCATGAGTCACATGCCTTCTCTAATCATTCCACACTTTGTTGAAAACATTTTCTTCAAACCATTAGTCTTCCTTTTCCCCCAACATGGGGTATGTTGAGATGATAAAGTATTATCTCCCATGGTTATCTTCTCCATTTTGACCTCTGATGTCTCAAAAAAGAAAGCATAAAATTCTTTCCCCTCCACTGTATCCAGTTATACTTCAATTGAATTAGAGCCCTATTTTGGAGATAGTTGGCATTTCTTGGCTTTCTCCTTCACGTTTGTTTCTTCTTTTGATAACAGCACCCGAATTTTGCTTTGAAAGAACTATTCCCAGCGAGCATAATTATAGGCAGTCTTTCTGTCAGTGTCCCCTGTCATCCTATTAATAAGAGCTGGAAATATGTTGCATCAGTCACTCTCTATAAGTGAGAATTTTAAGAAAAATAACACACAAAAATGGAAATGATTGGACCTTTGATTTTGTAAACATTTCCATAAATTTTTCTCATTAAATTAGCCAGACCAGTTCTGTTGCTTACAATAAAAGGAAGTCTGTTACAGTAGAGGATTTTGAATGCCAGACTAGAGTGTTTTATCCCTAACTTTGTAGGTAATGGGAAAATGCTAACATTTATTTTTAATATAAAAAATAGTTATAATTAAAATGTGCAGGAGTAATATTAAATAGAACCATTAAAGGATAAATTAGAGTAGGAGGGCCCTTGGAGTGCAAGAGTGGTTAAAAGGCCATTCAGTGGTATAGGTGAGCTAAAAAGGTGGAGCTGGAAATGCAAAGACCATGGATGAAGCAGACATTATGAGGGTGGATTTTATGGTATTTTGTTGTGTAATGGAAGTGAAGTTGGAAGGGAGATATGTAATATGGTCCCAGTTCCCCTCGTATTTGACTGGATTTTGAAGGATAGATAATATTTTTATGGCAGAGATGACAAAAAAGCATCTTAGAGAAAAGAAAAAGCATGAGAAAAATTTAGAAGCCAGGAGTATAAGACAAAGTTAGAAATGTTGATACAGCATAGAGCTCACCATACCAGTTTGTACATTCCTTAAAGACGAACACTATGTCTCATTTATGTTTCTGGTGTCTGGAATAGTGATTCCCAAATGCTGGCCCATTGATTGAATGCATTGATTGCTTTGTACATTAGAGACTTCCCCCATTCCCAGATATTTGGATTCAGTAGAGCTGATGCAGGATCCAGGAACTTTATTTATTTATTTATTTATTTAGAGACAGAGTTTCACTCTTGTTACCCAGGCTGGAGTTCAATGGTGCCATCTTGGCTCACTGCAACCTTCGCCTCCTAAGTTCAAGTGATTTTCCTGCCTCAGCCTCCCAAGTAGCTGGGATTCCAGGCAGGCACCACCATGCCCAGCTAATTTCGTATTTTTAGTGGAGACAGGGTTTCACCATGTTGGCCAGGCTGGTCTCAAACTCCTGACCTTAGGTGATTCATCTGCCTCGGCCTCCCAAAGTGCTGGTATTACAGACATGAGCCACCGTGCCTGACTCAGGAACTTTATTTTTAAAAATAAAAATCCAAATTTGGGAACCATGCCTTGGTACACTGTAGGAAAATGCAGTGCACATAGTTTGTATGTAGTTTATAAATACCTGTTGAAGTAAATTAAACTATGTGGTTTTTGTCTTTGCAGCCTCCCTATCACCTCACCTCAGAGCTATATTTAATATTTGTTCAATAATTTCAATCACAGCCATTTTTCCGATGCCTCCATCTTCCCACACCCTTGAAGTAATTTTGAACTCCTTTGTTATCTTTCTTTTATGTTCCAGCAATCACTAGGCCATGCCAATTTCTTCTACAGATATTTTTCTCGGATCAGCCCCTATTATTTGCATTTATATTGTCATCGTTTTGAATAGGTCTTACCCTACAGATGGATCACTGTTGGCCAAGTCCAGCCTGTTGCTTCTACTTTCATAGATTACCATTATGTACACAGCTGCTGAAAAGAATGGATTCCAAACGTGGCTTTTATCTTGATATGCTGTAGGCAGAAAACTAGGCATATTGGTTGCTAGAAATGTGCAATTTGTTTGCAAGTGGTTCTCAAGCTGTGATATTTAACAGAATTCCAAAAAGAGGCATTTAATTATACATTTGTCTGAGTATCACCTCCAGAAGTTCTGATTCTTTAAATATGGAATGAATCTCTGATATCCTTTATTTTAATAGATTCTCCTAACAATTCTTATAATTCAAAGTTTAAGAACACCATGTTCTGTGGGCAAAAGATACCTGGGATTACAAATTAGCTGAGATCCCATACAAGGTTAATCAAGGTTCTTTGAGAGCAGGGTGAGAGGGTGAGTGTGAAGGAATTTCCAGGACACATAGGCAAAAAGCCAAAAGCTCTGGGAGCAATGACTAATATATTCAAAAGATCTTGTGATAGTGAGAGAATATGCTGACAGATCTTAAAAAGTCACAGTTATCATCTTGTTTACAGATACAAGGACTACTCAGACAAATTTATGGATAGAACTTGGTGTGTTTTTTATCATCTTCAGGTAAGTTCCCGTATCTAGAAACAGTACTGGCTGATTTACCTGTAAATCTCAAAAAGAAGTAGTGAGTTTACTAAAGCTTAAAATCTTGTGATAATCACATAACACTAATGACAAAGTAAGTTACAGAACTAGATTGTTTCAAAGAACAAATTAATATTTTACTAACTTCCAAGACATATTTGATTAGGATTTTGACTAAATTGAATACTTTTCCCTGGGGGATGAATATCTTTGAAGTGGGAATGGTAATATTTTCACATCAATTTGTTTTCAATTTGTCAACATCTCAAGCTGGAAAGCTGGAAGTCACAGTACTTTATTGAGAAAGGGAAACATTTAGCAAAGTACTGAAATATTAAAAGGGCATGAATGTCTACATGTGGTAATTCAGCTGACTGCTTTGGGTTGGTCAGGTTGGGTTTTATTTCAGATATTTTAATGCCATATTCAATTGAGCCATCTGCTGTACTCTAAATCATTTGCTAAAAATGTCTGAATCACTGCACAAATATGGTTTTGGTTTTGGACAAAGAACATGAGTTTCACAAAATCTCCATTTGTCATGTTTTTAGGTGAAGACAGCTATGCTGAAGTGAAAGGAGCTTTGAACTTATTTTTAAAGTTGAGTTCAAGACATGATCCACTGTCAACTGTGTTTGGATGGGGTCAGCTAATCTCTCACCTTGGAAGGAGATCCAAGCAACCATTCTCCATCTGCTGAGAGTTTATAGCTAAGACCTTACCTTGGACTTGGCCTTAGTCAAAGAAAGTTGTCTCACCTAAGGTTCCTCTCCTTCTCTAAGGTGGTCTGCATTCAATGCCTAACCCAGGGTTAGGCATACCTTTTTCAAAGGGCCATCCTAGCCTCAGAGCTCCCTGTGGGGTCAGCAGAGGTCTCTAGTATAATTGTATCACATTTCATCTCCATCTGCCCAATTCTGCCCCTACCATCACCTCCACAGGTGTCCACCCTGTGAGTGTCCCCCAATAAACCTGTATGCAAGTCTTTCTCTCAGAGTCTTTTCCCAGGCAACATAACCTAAGACACTTGTGGAAATAAACAAAGATGAGTCAAATGAGAACAAGCAGAGGCTATTTATTCAGAGCTTGCAATAGCAAAGGAATCCATCACTTGCATTTTGGCAGAGACTCAAAGGCAGACGGAGGAGTGTGAAAGCTTTAGAATGGAAAAAAGGGAAGGTTGGATATATCCTGATTGGGATATCCCAGGTGATTGATTAGGGTGCATATTTGACTTTCTCTAGTTGATTCTATGTTGGAAGCAGGGACAAAAATTAGGGAAGCTGCCAGTAATTCATCATGATTTTGTTTACACATATATAAATTTGTATCTGTATTCCCAAGCAATATGGATGCAAAGGTCATTGACATGGGCAAGGAATGGCCAATGGCCCCACTCTCCACCCAGCTGGGATGTGAGCTACTCCAGGGGCTCCAATGTTTTCTGCCTTCTCCACTTCATCCCCAAATTGAATCCTCTCCAGAAGGCAGAGCAAGCCTAAATTCCGTTTACTTTTTCTAGTGTTCGATGCCTCTCCATACCAGAAAGTGATGTTGGCTTCCTTTCCCACCTTCTGGGTAGAAGCTCATACTGTCTGTCCCAATAGCTTCTGGCTAGTGAGACTGCCATATGCTCAAAAATCAGATTTTGTCTCATGACTCTTTTTCTTTTGGAAGGGCTTTTGCTGCATGTGTGGATAAATAAGCAAAGCAAGTGGCTGCAATAACTTCTTCTTTAAAAGTAGAAGTTTAACAGTTGAGATGTTTTTATCTGTAACATGATATCTAAATTATATTGGCTTAAGGAATAAGGACACTTATTATCTCATATGGCAAAATATCCACAGCGAGGGTGGTTCCAGGGTTGGTTAGTTGAGCAGCTCAATGATGTCATTGCCCTGAGTCACCATTTCTTCCATTCTCTTGGCTCTCCCCTCATGGTTCCAAGGTGGCTGCCGTGGCTCCAAACATCTTTCTGCAACACAACATGCCACACGCAGCAGGGAAGTATGGGAGAAAATCTTTCTCAGAAACTCCCGACTGACTTCCTCCTGGGAACCACTGATCAGACTAGATTACAGGCCCCAACAAACCAATAACTGGGGCTAATCTGCCTCTTTTCCCATCCTCTGTGCCTGTGAGCTGAAGCACAACAAATGCTCATGCTGCCCAGTTGTCACCAAAGAACTCGTTTCTTCTATAGAAATTGAGAACACACCAAAAGTTAACAGTTACCTCTGGATGGTAGGATTGTAAGTGACTTTTCTTCTTCTGAAAAATT